TGTAGGCTTTAATTGAATAAACACTTTAAATGTTTATCCAGATTTCAAAAGCATTTATTAGTCATTGATTTAATATATTCTCATACATGTGTTCAATATTTAGGCAATTTACTATTTTTATCTTAAGGAAGACTTGTCTTTTTAATTTGCAGGAAGCTATATCACACGTGTTGTCATAGAACTCTAAACTTCTTTGTTTGGTAGGGTGTGACCTTACCGTAAAAGTTATTTATGAAGACATTTGAAAATATATATACATATAGTGCCTCACTTGAAATTATTCATATATTTAACACTTGAATCATAAGCAGGAAATGGCATAAGAGAAGTGTTAATTCTATTTAGTGTGTACTTCAATCTTTTTATTTGACATTGGAACAAAGACACTCAGAAAAACTCAACTGAGTCTATATACAAAATAGCCTGCCTTGTCCTTCTCTAACAAGGAGACTCTCCTGAACTTTAGTTTCACCATTTGTTTTGGAAGAACATGTAATGCACAGTAGAATGGCTCCTTAGACAACACAAGAGTGAGCAATCAGAGTTTTAAATCCAGATCTACCAAAGGTTTCCTATTCAACAAATCAATTATTTCATTCATATCAGTTTCTTTAGGTTTAAAAGGAATCTTGTAAGTGAAAATGATCAATAAATAATTGAAATAAGCATATAAAAACAATTCACTTATGACATTAACATACCTAGTTTTAAGTGTTCACTTTTAATTTAGAGTGATGTGAATCAATTGATCATTTGTCTGTCAATTAATTGTGTTCATTGCATAAAATGTATTACAGTAACTTAAGAATGTTTAAAACAAGATTAGGGTGCTGCCTGCCCTCAAAAATCAAAATATCATTTCCAGAGAGATCTCAGAATATATCTAGATACACTGAAGTATGTCTAGGCCTTTTAATTTTTGGATCCTGAAAATATAGCCAGCCTTCCTTAGAATAAAAGGCTACACTATACTTCCTGCTTCTTGATAAAATAAATTAATCTTGAGAAAAAGTGCTTGTACACTTAATTTCTTTGACTTACTGCATTGGGGAAGAAAGGCAGCAGTATAGAATATAGTGAGCATAGAATTTTGATTCTGAACTACTGGTTTTGAGTCCTGGATCCACATTTACTACCTGTGCAATTTTGGAAAACCCATTTCCTTTCTCTGAACCTCAGGTTTACTGTCAGCATGCAAGGATAATAATATACATACTTACATAACATATCTCAACAGTTTGCAGTGAAAATACTCTAAAAAGCTGTGTAGAGTGCTATATAAATGTTCATCATTATATTTCCATAATCTTTAAAAAGGATTCTTTATTATGGAAAGTGTTTCAAACCTTCCAGATTCAAGTAAGGTGATTGTTTTTGACAAATTTTCCAATCTGGTGCTAGGTTTTCTGCACATAGACCTAAACAAAGTCATATCACACAGCCTCCACGTACTGAGTATTTTCCTTGACATTGACAAATTCCTGGTTGCCACACTGTACAGAAGATGAATGCACATGGGCAAAATAAGAACAGAATAAAAGCAACTTCACTTTGGATAGTGTCTAGCAGGCCCTAAACATGATGGTTGAATGAGTCTTTTCTATGGCTAAAATGAAGGCCTTTTTAGTCAAGGCTTTCACGGGAAGACAATCTATCAGGTCGCTTTTTCCCCAGATTCGTTTTTAATCCAATTTCCCTGACTACCTGCTAATAAATGAGGGCGGTTTTGCATCAATGTCTCTGCAGCCTCGTATCAAGCCAGACTTTGCAGTACAAACAGCTATTATAGGCCATATTTTCCTCTTAAAATTCAACTATATATATCTATCAGTGCTACCAGCAACTTGCCTTAATAACTTTATTAACTAGTCCAGACATGTAGTAATATTTCATGTTATCTTAAATCTCCTTCTTTATCCCCACATGCAAAAAAAAAAAAATCATGTTTGTGAGTTAAATCTTTAAGCATACTTTCTCCAAGCAGATTTTGGAATTCTCCTAAAATAAAAATATGAAGAGCCATGGAAGATGATTGGGATAGCTAAGAGACCAGAGTTGGCACCAGCGAATGCCAGCTAATACAATTTTTATGGAGCAAATATATTCTTTTGCTGTTTTGAAAATGAATTACAGAAACTGAAATTTAATTCCTTTTTAGGCAATTTTTGTAACTCTAATGAATTTATGAAAGACATTTAGCAAAGACAACCGAAAAATAGAGCTATCTGACATCTGGGACTTTCCTACCTTAACACCAGTTCCTGGGTCCGCTGCTCTGCCCTCATTTACCATGTGTGTCTTATTTGGTCTGCTGTATGAGTGTGGCCTTTTTCTTACTTAAAAATGAAATCAACTATACTACCATAGTGGTTTCCCTCCCGCCATTAGTGCTTGTCTTACACAGCTTTGTCTTGTTATGGTTTTAGCAGTTGTGTGTATTTCTTTCTCGAAAATTGTTAAAAAGGAGTAGAGGTTTAGCAGACTGTGGCAATGGAAAAACAGCCTGAGAATTACAAGGGCAGAAGTTGAACAACACTGTATGTTGTTTTTATGAAAATACAAATTGCCGAGAACAATTTATAAAAGGCAGATATATCTTAATAGAGAAGTCCTAACACTGTAATTTTAAATTTTGGCAGTTGTGCATAGTTCATTATAACTTTAATATTCAATTATATTAATGGTAAGTGATTTCCATATTCATTAGATTCCATATGTAGTCTGAAAGACCTGTATATATGAAAAATGGAAATAAATCTGCCTAGCTGTTGGCAAAAAATAGTGCTTTGTTCCTGTTATATTATTGCCCATGTTAGTGGCAGTGGTGAGGTAATTTTTGGGGGGAGATTTTGTTTTTTCATCAGAAGTAAGTATGCAGCAAAATTAGATGTAAAACTGAATTCCAAATATACTCTCTTCCTTACAGAATGTAACAACTTCTTAGTTATTTTTTAAGATGTGTACTTACATACAATTGATATTTTAAATAATATGAAAATTAAATTAAGAAGTAAGGTCAATACAAAAGGCAAACTATATGCACAAGAGCTATTAAAAATCTTTATTTATTTGCAGAATAAGCCATATGAAAAACATAATCATTATTTATATTACATATTTATATTTTATATGGTTCTTACAGCAACATCAACAATCCTATAAAGAAAATAAAGTTTCAGGCATATCATTTGTCCTCAAAAATAGTTGTTGTTAAATGAATGGATTGAAGGATGTATGAATGTCTGTAATTTAAAAAATGAGGCCAGGTACAGTGGCGCATGCCTATAACCCCAGCACTTTGAGAGGCAAAGGCAGGCAGATCACCTGAGGTCAGGAGTTCGAGACCAGCCTGGCAAACATGGTGAAACCCAGTCTCTACTTACAAAAAAAAAAAAGAAAAAGAAGATATAAAAATTAGTTAGGCATGGTGGTGGATTACATGCCTGTAATCCCAACTATTCAGGAGGCTGAGGCAGGAGAATCACTTGAACCCAGGAGACGGAAGTTGCAGTAAGCCAGGATCGCGCCACTACACTCCATCCTGGGCAATAAGAGTGAAACTCCACCTCAAAATAAATAAATAAATAAATAAATAAATAAATAAATAAATAAATAAAGTTTATTTGCAAACTATTCTGACAAAGGACCAATATTCAGAATACAGAAGGAACTCAAAAACTACTCAATAGCAATAAAACAACAACAACAACAACAAACTCTTTAAAAAGTGGGCAAAGACAGGAACAGTCCTCAAAACCAGACATACAAATGGCCAAAGGGTATATGAAAAAATGCTCAGCATCACTAACCATCAGAGAAATGCAAGACAAACGCATGCTGAGATATCCTCTTACTTCAGGTAGAATGTCTATTATCTAAAAGGCAAAAAATAAAAGATGCTGGTGAGGTTGTGGAGACATGGAAACTTCTATACACTGTTGGTGGGAATGTAAATTAGTACAGCCATTATAGAAAATAGTATGAGGATTTCTTAAAATACTAAAAATGAAACTACCATATGATGCAGCAATCCCACTATTGGGTATATATTCAAAGGAAAGGACATCAGCATATCAAAAGGATACCCATCATGTTTACTGCAGCACTATTCACAATAGCAACAAATACAAAATCAACCTAAGTGTCCATCAAGAGATCAACTGATAAAGAAAATGTGGTATATATAGAAAAGAGAATACTATTCAGCCATAAGAAAGAATGAAATCCTGTCATTTGCAGCAACACAGATGGAACTAGAGGTCTTTATGTTAAATCAAACAAGCCAGAAACAGAGAAACAAATATTGCATGTTCTCACTCACATGTAGGAGCTAAATAAAAAGTTGATCTCCTGGAGGTAGACAGTAAAATGACAGATACCATAGGCTGGGAAGGCTTTGGAGGAGTAATGAAGAGCAGTTGGTTAATTGGTACAAACATACACTTTGATAGAAGGAATAAGTTATCCTCTTTGATAGTAGAGTAGGGTGATTATTTCAAAATAACTAGAAGAGAGAACTTGAAATGTTCCCAACATGTAGAAATGACAAATTCTTGAGGTGATGAATATCCTAAATACTTTGGCTTGGTCATTACACATTCTATGTCTGTAACAAAACATCACATGTGTTCCATCAATATGTATGAATATTACGTAACCATCAATCAATAAGAAAATGGACCGGGCATAGTGGCTCATGCTGGTAATCCCAGCACTTTGGGAGGCCAAGGCGAGCAGATCACCTGAGGTCAGGAGTTCGAGATCAGCCTGACCAACATGGAGAAACCCTGTCTCTACCAATAATACAAAGGTTAGCTGGGTATGGTGGTGCCTACCTGTAATCCCAACTACTTGGGAGGCTGGGGCATGAGAATCGCTTGAACCCGGGAGGCGTAGGTTACAGTAAGCCGAGATGAGATCATGCCATTGCACTCCAGTCTGAGCAACATGAGTGAAATTCGCCAAAAAAAAAAGAAAGAAAGAAAGAAAATGAAGCTCAAAGAAATTAAGTAACTCACCAGAGATGGCGCACTAAAAAATTTTAAGACCCTGACCTTGAACACAGGCATTCTGACTTTCTGACTCCAGTTTTACTGTGCTTTTGACCTCCCTGTGATTCCCTTTTCAACAATTGACACTGACCTTTATCCACTTTCTCCCCACTTTGGATCTAAGATATCTGAGGCAAGCAAAGTCCAAAGCAACTTACAGGCTTACCTACCATATGTGAATGTTAATTTATAGCGTTTGCTTCTTTGTCTCTGGTCAAACCTGGACTTGGGAAGACACACAAGAAAAGAGATGCATAGAGAACTGTATAGTCAAATCAGAGTGGGAGAGTGAAAAACAGGGAATACTTTCTAATTTAAGAACAGAGTGAAAGAAACATCCTGTACTCACCTTCAATTCATCCTGAGGATTCCAGTAAAAGCAATGACAGTATTGACAATCCTGATCTTCTCGCTTAAAGAACATAAAAGTTTCGTTATCTTTTCTAAACTCATAGTTCTCAACCAGAAAAACCTAATCAGTTAAAAGAGGGGGTAGAATGTAATTTGTTTCAGATTGCATTTAGTTATTATTAAATATTATTATACACTGAAGTTTACAAATGATTTAACTTAGGGAAAAGTTAGTCAATTCAAGCTTATATTTATCATAAAGCCACTCTTTATGTGCTTCCCAATATTGCTTCCTAAGACTTAGAGATCAGATTCAGTAATTATTCAGACTATCTGAATTGCTTAGAATCCAAACTTTATGTGGATGTGTCTATGGCAAAGTTAAAGGATTGAAAACACTCTCTTAGATAGTTATTGATAGGTAGGAAAGTGATTCCACTGCCTGCCAAACATTCATACATATTTCCCAAGACCTGTAAAAAGAGTAAATAGGGACTTGCAAGAGCCACTGATTTCCCAAACAATGAGAAAATGGGAAAGAAGCAACATTTAAATAAGCTTAGTTGCTCTGGACAATTATCCCTATGAATCAAGGTGGTTTATTCTTGTATAATCATCTTGCTGGCTACCGGCTGGCATTTAAGATTAAGGTAAACATGAGTAGCTGGGAAAAAATGATGCAGCATATGAGTTGTAAGTATATTAATTTCATCTTTGTCAGTGTTTCTTATGTATGTTTGGAAAGTGATGGCATTTTTTTACCTAGTGAAATAAAAAAAGGTTTTCCTTAGACAAGGAATTTCATCATTTCTGAACTTTTACAAATGTGTGCTCTACCTATCGTTTTCATATGCTTCCTTAACCAGCAAATGATGTGGTAAAATTGTGGGTAGCAGCAGCATGAAGAACAGAACCATTTTAATTTCTCCCATCTGGCATATTAGCATTAATAAAAGATGTTTAAAAAGAGAAGCCTTGAAAGGCTTTCACCTCTTGATTTAACAAGATAATAAGGAAAGCTTGCAATCTGCCACTAAATATAACTGATAAGAATGAGTATAATGTGATGATCACCAAGATTAACCTTTGAGATAATTTGTAAAACCCTGCTGATTACAATACAATCATGTTAAGACTAGCACTAAAACTGTTGTTGTTACTTTTTAGTACAAATGAAATAGGAAAAATCCCATTTGTAGAAATATAGATTATATAGATCAGTAGAACAAAACTGGGAAGTTACCTACACCTGCCTGATCTGTAAACCAACCATAGTGGATCTCCCTCTCAATGGTGTTTGTTGATTTAATATTACAATCAAATGATTATATTGCTGGTTTAGATTAAGTACAGTGTAATACTGATTGTATGTTTCTATATTTATCTGTTTCACCTAGTTTTGTTGTTATCACATTACAATCCCCTTCACTAACACCTCATTAATATATTCCCATTTATTCTGGGTTTTTGATGGGGCAGGGGAAGATTTTACTTACCCAGGCAGTTCCTCAATTAAAATGGGATTGGGGGAACCTATTCTTCTTAATTGGAAAATTACCTGAGTGGTTTGTCCAAGCTTTTCATAGCTTTTTTGACTGATCTTTTTGATCACAACTACAGTTCAAAAGAACACTATAGCTGAAAACTACATATAACAATAAAATGAAGAGATCACAAGGCAGTTTAACAGGTCATTTATTATCCTAATATCAAAAAGTACCTAGAAATACAAAGACTGGCCTGCTTACATAAGACATACCTATATTATTCACTACCTTAAGTGAATGCATAGTTTTGGTCTTGGTTTGGCTTGTTTATTCAAGGCAAAATTTGGTAGTATAAAGTTTAGAGCTTAGAACTGAATGAGAGATGTTCCTAAGGTTTCCTTAATGGAAATTTGAACTATTTGTAGTCAGAGGAATTTATTTATATAATGAATCAATAAGTACATAGAAAGTATATTAAAGCCTCTTAGTTTAGCTTTTGCACATGTGGTATCCAATCCTGAAAGTCCCCTTTGTATTACAGAGACACAAATAAACTGGTAGCAATCACAATGAATGTATAGATGCTACTTTATCATCGCTACTATATATCTTGTTTAATTTCTCAATTGAAAGCTTAATGTCCACTGCAAAAAGCAGTGCAGATTGGAAGACAATAATGAGAATTCTGTGCACAGAATAAGGCTGAATGTGGCCCATAGGAGAAATGATAAACCCATGGTAACCATGAGAGATTTTTATTTTTAGACAGACTCAATTAATCAAAATCATTTGGCTAGGATTTTTTTTAGATAGAAGAATCAAACTCCAAAAATTCCTACTCAGTATTTAAGGCTATAAGAATATATAATGTACTTCAACCACTGAAAGTTAGAAGAAAATAAACAATCTAAGTCTTCATTCATTCTTCACATAGGGGAAAGGGGGAATTAGATCTTGCATAATACCTAACAAGACCCATAATTTTTTCATATATTATGTTCAGTATTATTTCCAGTAATTACAAAAGTAAGTACATTTCTTGTTTCTTCGAAAAGTCTAAAAATCATTTCAGGTTGAGTTTCAAAGGTATAGAATGAATTATATGTACTAATAGGAATGCATACTATATTTTAGATGAAAAGATTTATATGTATCCTAAAACTCTTATTCTTTTATTTCATTCAATTTTTGATTAATTAGACTGAAAAATATGCTAAATAGTACATTATTACCACTTTCATTAAAAGAAAAATAATTTTATTTCTTTTAAAAACATGGAATTAAATTGGATGACTAGTATTGATTAATTTTTTTAAGTTGAAAGACATGAATAAATACATTGCTTTCTGAATTTCAAAGACTTTTAAAAAATATCAGTGGAAAAATAAATTTTTAAAAAAATTACCCTTAAGCTATATATTTTGCAAAGTAAAAAATACTTGATTCAAAGTCTAACCAAAAGGAGTTAAAAACCAAACCAAAACAAAAGCCTCCAGGGCAATTATTTTCTAAGATCTGTCCTCAAGGCAAGTTTTTCTGGAAAATTTGGAATTCTCCAGATGGTGAATTTTCCAAGAACTATAAATAACTTTAAGACAGTGTCTATAATAGGGATAAATCATAAAGGTAAATTCTTTGTTTAATAAAATAACAGCACTTGCATGTTGATTATACTGCTTGAATGGCTTTGACGGCCTGATTAATTCAGTGTTTCCACTTCTATTTCTCCAGCCAAGGGATATGGATGAATCACTAACAATTGATCACCACTACTGGGAAAGTAATGCAAAGCATATTTCATGTTAATTCCATATTGGTAGCATCAACTTTGTGTATGAAAGGTGATACAAATATTTCTCTTTATATTGAATACATTTCTAAGTGACAATTAACGAAACAATAACGCTATCAAAATAGAAAGCCAACACATTATCTCTAAATAAAAAGCATTAAGTAGCATTGAAAAATTTTATTTGTGTCAGATCTTTGCTTTTAAGTGCCAAAAATGGGGAGGAACCAAGTGCCCTTGGAGTAATGGCTGATTCTAGAGGTGGGGTAAGGAAAATACAAGATAAGCCTGGATCATCTTGTAGTACTAGAACAGAAAACAAAGAATTGTAGGGTGTGCCAAAAGAACACAGAAGCCATCCTGACAGAGCCCCCAAAGGCCAAAGCTGAAATAATCTGAGCATCAAATAAATAGTGGAATATTGGTTTATAGCCCAAAGTATAAAATATATACCTCTGTGTCCATACTGATGTAAATAAATGTTTTAATAATCAAATAAGTGAGAAGAAAAGACAAATCCTTGGCTTGAAATTCCGTATAGTGTATGTAGATTTTCCCCTTCAGGAAGTGGAGCCTAATTCTCCTCCTATTGAGTATGGACTAGAATTAGTGATTTATTTCTAATGAATAGAGCATAGAATGAGAAAAATAGTAGCTTTACAGTGAAGAAACCAAGCAAACACTACTTTAAAAAACAGTTAAATTAACATCATTGGTGATTCCATGGGGATGTCATGTATCTTTCATATGATGTAATAATAAGGTCACTTTGCCTTTGTAATATTCATTAGAAAATTCATAACTCTGGTCTAACAATGATAAAAACATTGGAGAAACCTAGATTTGGGGGCATTCTTTGGTTACCTGGCTAGCACTCCTCAAGATTCTCAAGGTAATGGAAAACAAGATTGAGAAACTGACATAGATCAGAGGAGACTGGGGAAACATGACAACTAGACACAATATATTATTCTCATTGGATACTGAAACATTAATGAAAAATCTGATGACATGTAAGTAGTATAGAGTTTAGTTCATAGCAATATACTAACGTTGCTTCCTTAATTTTGAGAAATGTACTGTGGTAATGTAAGATATTAACCATAGGGAAAACTAGTTGAAGGGTAAACAGGAATTCTATTATCTTTCCAAGTTTTCTATAATTCCAAAATTATTCTAAAATTTAAAATTATTTTCAAAGTAATTGGCATAAATAGTGATCCCAGAAAGAAACTCTTGCATACATGATTTTTTTTTCAAAAGATGCCATGATCATTCATTCAATGGGAAAGGACAGTTGGTTCAATACTGATGTTGGTAATACTGGATATCTGCAAGCAAATGAATGAAGTTGGGCCCTGACTTTATGTCATATATAAAAATTAACCCAAATAGATGAAATACCTAAACATAATAGTTAAAACTATAAAGCCTCATAATACTGGATTGGGCCATGGTTTCTTAATATTACTCAAAAAGTATAGGCAACAACAAAAAAATAGATAAATTGGACTTAACCAAAATTTCTTAAAATTTGTACGTCAAAGGATGCAACCAACAGAAATAAAAGGCAACCCATGGAATGATAGAAAATATTTACCAATCATATATCTTATAAGGAATGGATATCCAAAATGTATAAATAACTCCTAAACTTAGTAACAACAAAAACAAATAATCCAGTCTAAAAATGGCCAAACAACTTGAATAGACATTTTTCCAAAGAAAATATGCAAAAGGCCAATAAACACATCATTATTGCTAATTATTAGGGAAATGCAAATA